GGGGCCATGTGTCACGACTTCTGAAATTTACTTTCAAATAGTTAAACAATATTATATTTTGGTCACCTAAATGACCAACTATCCCAGTTTTCCCAGGGCTGAGGGATTTCTTGGGATACTGGATTTTCAGTGCTAAAACTGAGCAAGTCAGGGCAAGCAAGGACAGTTGGTCACCCTCACATGTATTTGAAGTATGCATGTGTGTGCACACTTATATATGTATGCATTCATGTATGAATATGTGTATATGTATACCTGTGTGTATATATGTATATGCATGTATACGTATGTATGCATGTGTACATGTATACATGCATGAGTGTATAGTGAAATAATTTTCATCATAAAAATGATTGGTTTATTTTATTGGCATGGTTACTACATTTGAGCTCAGTTATTTTTCATTTTCTTGTGGAGTAAATTGGGGCTTATTACTCAATTCCTGTTATATATTTTTCATATATATATGAAAAAGTAAATGGAGCAAACTGTTAAAAAATGCTGAATCTAGGGGAAAGGCCTACAGGTCTTCTTTGTACTAGTCTTTCAATTTTTCCATGGCTTTGAAACATTTCCAAATGAAATCTCGGGCGAAGGAGCACACACGTCATTGGACAGAACCCAGCTTGGTGCCTAGTACAGTGTCGGTGCTCAGTAAGTGGTAGGCAACATAAGATCACCACCAGCATGGTGTTCATATATTCAATTTCACTATCTTGGCTGTGGCTTGGATAGTTAAAAGTAGAGAAAAACCCACTGCTGTCAAGTCAATTCTGACTCATAGCGACCCTATAGGACAGAGTAGAACTGCCCCACAGGGTTAAAACTAGAGAAGTAACCACTAAATAAGTGAGCTCTTGTTTTGTCTGGGACCTTTGCAAAAAAGGGAAACATAAAAAAGCCCTTTTAGTCTCCTATGAACAGCTGCTCCCAGATGAAGCAACAGAGCTCAGGGGCTATGAGCCTGTCTCTCCAGCAGTGGACTGCTTTGTGGGCCCTCAAAGGCACTGGGATGCTGAAATTATAAATTCTACAAATTCCCCAGAAGACAATTTTGTAGCTCTGCTGAAAGAAGCATGAATCCAGTCAGCTCAATCCGAGAGGTTGCTCTTTGGCTCCCTGAGGGGAGTTTCAGTTAATCAATGAGATCCATGCTCCATCCTTAGCTTGTGCTTAAGGTGGACGAGATGCCCAGCAAACCGCAACGGTGCCTCCTCCCACTTCTTTAGGAAGATTGGAACCTAATCCCGGCCCACAGAGGGTGCCTGCATTCTTCTGAGTCTTGCCTCAGAAGACCTGCCTCAGTGGTTCCTGAGGTGGGGCTTCAGGACTGAGGACTAGTGTCTTGTATGGTTGGTGTTTTTAATATTTCCACATGCCTTGGTAGAGTAGGAACTGATGTTTTATTAATGGTGTTTAATTAAATTTTAATTTCAAAGCATTGCTGCTGTCACATTGTTTTGATAAATGCTTCATGATTTTTCATGACAAGGAGAAAGGGAAGTTTTGGGAGAGGTTGAGGCGGGCCTTAAAGATGGGACTTGGGATTTGCTGTTGCACATGTAGGTAAATCCTCAGAAAGTAGGCAAGGTGGGCAAAGCACCTTGGAACAAAGTGTCTGAGCTGCTCCTTGACCAAATCCTACTGTCCATCTGCTGAGTCCTGAATTTTCACACTGATTTTTACCACTGGCTGCTTCCTGTCTAACAACTGGGGGTTCCCTGTGAACATCTGTCACTGAACTACCCTTCTCGTCTCTGTTTCTCAAATCAGGCACTGAGAACACCGCCATTCCTTGAGAGTCCATGCTATATTTTCTACAGCCACTTAGAGTGGACGTCTAGATCTCTGAAGAAGTTTCCCAAGACTGCTAGTGGTTTCTGGGTCGCTTGTGCTAGAGGCTCCTTTGTCAAGATATATTTGGTCTGTGATTTAGTGCAAACATAATAAGTCCATATATTGAAAGCTTATTGTCTGCCAGGCATTATTCCAATTCCTTTATATACCATCCCTTTCAATCCTCATAATAACATACAAAATGTAGGTACTATCATTAACTCCATTTTATAGATGAGGAAACCAAGTACTGAGAGGTTAAGCACCTTGATCCTGGCATGTATGGTTCCACAGTCTTCCTTATCCAATAGTGCATCACCCTCCCTGCTGGAATAAGGGGCTGTGCATTTTTGAAACAACGGAACCAGCTCTAGGGAAACCATGGAGCACAGTTCTAGAACCACAGCTCGGGGGTGCTAATATGGCTGCAGAATGAAGCCAAGATGAGATGCCCAACTCTCTCTTTTGTGTGGGGCTGGGTTCACAGAAAGCAGAGCATTCAGATCTACTAGAGAAGTTGGTTGTGGGCAGAGAGCTGTATCCACAAAGGACTAAGGTTCTTTGCAAAACCGGAAGGTGGGGATCTAAGGTGACAAGAGGCTAGGTCTCCACTGCTGCTGCTGCTTCCAGAGATGACCTAAGCACAGCATGTAGGGGCTGTGGAGAGGGTGGATTCAAGCATGAATTTGAAGGGGGTCAGGGAGGGTCATAAAGTAGGTGGTATAAAACTTCCAGTTCTAGGAGGGGACTAGGGGAAGTGAGTATCGGGTGACAGGGTGAGAAGAGGCTGGCACCCTTTCCTCTCTCTCCCTGTGGGGCTTTGCAGCTGAGGATGTGGGTTTGGAGCCCAGCAGGGACCCTAAGTCCGGGCTCTTTGGAACTTGCTTGTGTGATACAAGGGTACCAGAGGGATTGCCGCTATAGAGGCTCTGTCCTGAAGCTCCAAAGACTAATCTGGGTCAATAGAGCATTTGCCTTATGTGGCTGACAGTGATAGGGCTCTGCCCAGATCCTTTCTGATCCCTTTGTTGTCCCCTCTACCCTTTGCCTGCACAAGCAGAGAGCCAGAAGTTCTGAGAATTTACTTCCCAAAACACCCCAGCCCTGAACTACTGGTGCATGGCCTACCCTGCAGGGCTCCCCTCCAGGCTCAGGTTGCAGTCACCGTTTACTGGACTTGGCTGGAGTTGCATCTTTGCCTGGCATCCTCCTCTTCTCTGTCCCCTTCCTGTCCTGCCTCCCCCTCTCCCTTCTCAGTCTCCCCTGGGAAAACTTCCTTAATAAAACACTTGCATACAAACTCTGTTCTCAGAACCTGATCGCGGAGAGCTAACTAAAGACACTTTACAAGGCCTGAGTCAGCCTGGCGCAGGGAGAGTCCAAACATGGCCATGGAGAAGAAGTGTTTCCTAGATAAGTCCTACAACCAGGAGATTCCATCTACCCATAAATAAATTAGCTGCTGTGGAGGAGTTACATGCCATTGGCAGTAGGAGCCTGGGAAGGAACACTTAACTCCGTTTGGGGCAGTCAGGGAAAGACTGGAAATAACATTTGAACCAAGACTTGAAAGATTAATGTAGTTTGTCCACAAACATGGAGGGAGAGTTCATTCCAAGCAAGGGAAATGGCATGGGTAATGACAGAGAGGCAGGAGGAGTTATGTTTTCTAGGAAGTAAAAGCAGCTCCATATTCCTGGAGTCTAAAGTTAAGAGGGGAGTCCCTGGGTGGTGCATCCAAATGGTTAATGTGGTTGGCTGCTAACTGAAAGGTTAGAGGCTTGAGTCCACCCAAAGGCACCTTGGAAGAAAGTCATAGTGATCTACTTCTGAAAAATCAGCTATTGAAAACCCTATGGAGCACAGTTCTACTCTGACACACGTGGGGTCACCATGAGTTGGCGTCAACTCAATGGCATCTGGTTGGTTTGGTAAAGTTAAGAGGAGTGCTAGAAGATAACCTGCAGGAAGCTGAATCAGAACCTTGTAAGTGGGAGAAATGGGGGCATCCAGGCTGATGTTCAGGTCACTATCGTGAGCTATTCCATGCAGTTTACTGAGATAGGGAACACAAGGAGAGGAGTCAGTGTATAAGAGTTGGTTCATTTTTGGATACTTTGAGTGTAAGAGGACTATAGGACATCCAGGTGAACAGTTGGTTCTGGACACATCAAATGTGTGTGCTGAGCTCTTTATGTCTTTAGTTACTATTGGTTTAATGGTATACCAGCTACTTTTTATGTGTCTGGACATCATAGGTAGTACGTTATTCCACTTCTAATGCATTTAACATCAAGGTGGATCCCTTTTGAAATGCGTGAAGACAGGAGTTGGAGCCTCTTTGTTGTGTAGTTTGAGCATTCTATTAGATGATGCTACCTGCATGTGTAAGTTTTGTAAACCTTTCCTTTTTTTCCCCCTTTATTTCTGTGAGATAAGGCTTGCAAGTATAATTATGGCTTTCCTGTGTGATAGTTCGGAGTCCTGATGAGTTTGTTATGGTTCTTCTGTGTCGTATTTGGAAAACCAGAGGTTCCCCATGTAACCTAATGCAAAGGTGCTCACAACAAATTCTCTATTTAGTTCTTATTTGTATATGATCATCCCACAGATCCGTGGTGCCAGAGTGCCACTTGCAATATTGGTGGCTTGTATTACCAGATCATATTTCTCAAAATCCATATTACCAACCGAAAATTTAAATACACCCAATTACTTACTAAGCATGCATTCCAATACTGAAAACACATGCCATCAAAACATTTCTTAAAATAAAAATAAAAAAATTGGTAACAAAAGGGTTAAATGTATTTTCTGATTTTAATTCTTGCAGAATCCAGGGTTGTCTGACTCCCAGGTTCACATGCTTAAACAGTATGATATACTCTTTCCCTTTGGGGGGTCATCAGTATGGACACAGAAGGTGGTGTAAAGTGAGAAGGAAGAGGGTACAGAAGGGTCAAATGTGAGTGTGCATCTATGGCAAAGCTGCTGTTGTCCCCTTGGAGTTGTGCAAGGCACAGCCTGCATGGTCCTTCTTTGGAGGCCTTGGAAAAGAGGCAGATAGAGAACGGGAGAAAAATAAAACGCTTCCTAACTGACAGGAGTAGCCCATGAGCAGGTTCAACATTCCCGTCCCCAAGTAAGCTCTTCCCCTTGCTTACCATCCTCCTCTGTCTGCACCACCAGCTCCTCACTCTCCATCCGGCCCTCAGGGTTGGACAGCAGGAGCCGCAGCCGAATTGTCATGAAGGGGCGCAGGCCTCGCAGGGTGTAGTGGGAGGAGGTCTGGATGACCTCCTCGGCCTCATACTGCTGCTGGTTGAACACATACTGGTACCGCACCGTGAGGTTGTAGCTGTGGCAGCGGGTCACTGCATAGCCAAAGGGTTCCCACTGCAGCGTCAGCTGCCGGGCTCGGATGTCCACAATCTCCACGTTCTGTGGGCCGTGCACTGGGTCTGCAAGACAGACACACAAGACACAGGCTCTGAGGAGGTATCAGAAAGGCGGGGTGGGTGCCCCCTGGCAGGTGACAGTGCACTGGAAACAGAGGAAGGCAGCTTTTCCAGACTTAGCTCAACCACTCAACCACAGCCTCCACGATGTTTGCTGCATGCAGTATAATTTAATGAACATTTTTCTTTAAATCAATCTCCTTCTTCTTATTTAAATGCATGCATCTAAAAGAAAACATAGCCTTGTATAAAGGGAAGACCCAAATTACTTGCCATAAATCTTGTTTACCATAAAAATAAAAGCAAGATTGGTGACTGCCAGGAGCTGGAGGCAGAGGGAACGTGGACTATGACTGCCTAATGGGAACAGGGATTCCTTTTGGGGTGATGAAAATATGTTGATATTAGAGATGGTGATTGCACAACACTATGAATGTAATAAAATCACTGAACTGTTCACTTTAAAGTGGTTAATTTTTTGAAATTGTGCTTTAAGTGAAAGTTTACAATTCAGGTTAGTTTCTCATACAAAAATTTATACACACATTGTTATGTGACCCTAGCTGTTCTCTCTATACTGTAACAGCACACGCCTCCTTTCCACCCTGGATTTCCCACATGCATTCAACCAGCTCCTGACCCTGTCTGCCTTCTCATCTTGCCTGTGGACAGGAGCTGCCCAAAATGGTTAATTTTATGTGAATGTCGCCTCAATTTAAAAAACTTAAAAGGATAAAATACATGCAAAATTGTAAATTTTTAAAAGGTTCATCAGGGTACCACCCAAAACCATATCTTGGGTACCATCCAGAGCACACACACAACACTTCGGGGATATACTGATTTAGAAGGCTGCTGGAGTTCTAAACCACTTCTGTATGTTTGATCCAGCCACAGGTTAGAGAGGAAATGTCTTCCGCTTGCTCACCATCCTCCTCTGTCTGTACCACCAGCTCCTCGCTCTCCATCCAGCCCTCGGGGTTGGACAGCAGGAGCGGCAGCCAAATTGTCATGAAGGGGCGCAGACCTCACAGGGTGTAGTGGGAGGAGGTCTGGATGACCTCCTCGGCCTCATACTGCTGCTGGGTGAACACATACTGGCACTGCACCGTGAGGTTGCAGCTGTATGGAGCACCAGCCGCAGGGCTGCTGGGTTCTAGAACTGAACCACCCTGTGAGGGCAGGACTGCCAACCCCACTTTACAGATGAGTAAACCGAGACTTAGAGAGGTTGAGGACTTGTACAGAGTAGTAAGGCTAGCAAAGTGGCTAAGTGAGGTTTTGAACTTGTGTCTGTCTGACTTTGCGTCTAGTGTGTGAAGTATGAAGATGTGCCTGGCCAGAGGGGGCTGGAAAGAAGCGTCTTGGCAGGCCCTGCGTCTGCACCTAGGAGAAGGGGAGCAGCACCTGTCCCCCCTCCTGCCCTCTGCCAGTTCTGCCTTTCTTCTAGCTGGGGTTTTCGGCAATCCCTTCTCATGCTTTCAGCCCCAGTTTCTGTTGCCCCTTCTGTGAGGACTTCTCTGCTGACCCCTTGGGCAGAAGTCAGTAGCCATTTCTCTTAGTGCTTACGGTTTCCTTGTATAGTCACCATTTTTCCACTATGATACCTTTTTAAAAATGCTCCTGCATACTAGAATGTAAACACTTTTTAGCAAGGATGATGTCTTTTCATCCTATCACCTGTATCCAGCCCAGAGACCCTCACGGAAGGCTCTCAGTAAGGACCAGTTGAATGAACGTATGCTCTATTTTGTAGACCACAAACAGCCCATGAGGAAGGCACGGGCAGCCTCATCGCAGGGAAATCCAGGTGCCATGAGCTGAAATGATTGACCTAAAGCCACACAGTGAGTGGCACAGCTGAGATATGACATCTTGGAGAGTCAAAGCCTCTGTTTGCTCCCTCAGGGGCAGAATAGCCAATAGGCAAAGTAAGCACGGTGCTTACCAGACTATCTGTAGTGAATAATTTCACATTTTTTCACTATATCAAAGATTCTGCTTCTAGGTGTGGCTGACATCTGTCTCTCTCCCGCCCACACAGCACTTTTTCAAATTTACAATCCCTGATGCGGCGGATGATCCAGTAACGAGGTAAGCACAGGCTTACTTCCTAATCCGTAGTGAGCAATTTCACATGTTTTTCACCACATCCCATGTGAAATTGTTCACTATAGATTAGGAAGTAAGCATAAGTGAGCCTGTGCTTACCTTGCTTATTGGGTAATCTGCCCCTGTGCACCGTGATACCACCAGGGACTGCATCCTGGGAAAGAACATAGATATGGGGCATGTCATAGTCATCAGGCTCTGGGGAGACCTGGGAGGAGGTTGTGAGAAAGCCGAGAACTCTAAGACAGAAGTGGTTAGGGCTTCGAACCAGTTGGTTCCAGTTCTAACCCCTGCTAAGAATTTGATTTTCCACCCCAGATATACTGAATCAGAATCTGCAGTTTAACAAGATCCCCAGGTGATTCTTATGTATGATAAATTTTGAGAACCACTGCTCTACTAGTGGTTCTCAGAATTGGTCCCTAACCAGCAGCATTAGTGTCGCCTGCGACCTTGTTAGAAATGCAATTTTTCAGCAAAGGTTTGAATCTGAATGAACAGGTTTGAAGCCCTGGAAGTGGCTGAACCTGCTGGAGAGGGCACTGCTGGAACTCAGACACACTTAGTGCTAAACTGACCGCTGGCCTCAGTCTGCCTGCCCCTGATCTTCGCCTGTGATGGTATTTTGCAAGCAGACTTGCTCCCCGTAGCTCACCTGCAGAGCTGTGCACATAACACCTTTCTGCTCCTTCTCAAGGAAGGAGCAGGCAGTGGCACCTTTTCCAAGAAGGTAAGGGGAATTGCAAGTCTTCCTCCCACACAGCAGAGACTTCCTCCTAGAGCAGGAAGGTCAAGATATGGGGATAGCCACTTGCTGCCTCAAAAGAGTGTGTGACTGTTGTCACACAGGGCACAGAGGAGGGAGTCGGGCAGAGCTTGAAGCCAGACACTGGCACTTACTGGCTGTGTGACCTTGGGTAAGGGCACACCATCTCTGAACCTCCATTTCCTCATCTACAAAGTAGAAATTATTACATTAATCTCAGAGGGTTGTTAATGAGTATAAAATGAACTGTAAAGAGGGAGAGAAAAATGCCTTTGCTTACAGTGGGGATTACTTTTAGAGAGACTTGCCTTTCTTAGAGAAATGCCATAAGTTTCTTTGGAGTAGAAGCTGAATTCCCAGAATGGTGGTGTCAGCTGTGCTGAGTCTTCAGAAGAAGGGAAAATGTATTCTTTGTGAGCTGGGACTGAATAGGAGCAGTAGGGGGGTGAACAAGATGGCAGAATGCTGGGTGTGACCATCCTGATGTGACTCCTAGATCTTCAGTGAGGTCCTCAAAATGCCACAAAAATGTTGCTGTGATTGAATTCCTTGGATTCTAGTGTAAGGGCTGATGCCTGCATGCCCTGGGCCAAACAAGATACCCCATGGGAACACAGGGGCCAGAGGTAAAGGGAACTCACAAATTTTTGGTGATGATTTAGGGGCTCCCTAGGCTATGGAAACAGAAAGGTTCGAGGAAATCTCAGTTCACATGTAAAAGGCAAGACGCCTCTGGTGGACCTTTGGGTTAGATACATGTAGGTGCAAGTGGTTTGAAAATTCTAGAACTCTGTACTAGTGTTAGTCACTATTGGTTGCCATTCGTCAAAGGGAAATATAAGGGCAATTCACAGCATTAAGCAGCAATTTTGGGCTTGGTGCTATACTTGGCACTTGCATCCTAAAAACAACTCTAAGGTATAGGGAAATTGAGGCTGCGGGATGGGACATAACTTAACCAGGGCCACACAGCCAAGTCCCCACGGCGCTTCGCATGGCTTTCCATCACATTCGTCAGTTGCCACACTTTCCAGGGATTGTTCATTTATCTGTCTCCCCTTCCCCCACCCCACCCCAACCTCCCCTCAAGGCTAGAAGCCTTTCTAGGACAAGGAATGTGTCCTGTTTGGCCAGCAACCCTGGCACATGCATAGGGTCTGTTGAGGGGCAGTTGTTGTCATTGAGTCTGCTCCAACTTACAGTGACTTCATGTAGAAAAGAATGAAACATTGCCTAGGCCTGTGCCTTTTTCATGATTGTTGGTATGCTAAAGTCTATTGTTGGGGCCACCGTGTATTTTGAGTGCCTCCAACCTAGGGGCACATCTTCCAGTACTATATCAGACAATACTCTGTTGTGATCCATAGGGTTTTAATTCGATAATGCTAGGAAGTAGATTGCTAGGCTTTTCTTTCTAGTCTGTCACAGTCTGGAAGCTCTTATGAAACCTGTCCACCATGGGTGATCCTGAGCTCGGACCCCCTGACTCTGTAGTCCCTGTTCTGTCCCTCCAGCATGTCAGCGGGTGTTTAACGTGAACATATCTTGTTCTGCATTCAATCAAGAGAATGTCCTGAAATCCTACACAATGGAAAGTAGTTTCCAAAATGAGTGATAGAAGCATTCGTGCTTTTAATTTGACCCTCCAAACCTCAGCATCCAAACTCAGCTCTTGATCCAATAATTGCCTGAAGCAGGGAGAGTCTCAAGTTTACATTTGAATTGGTGCAAACAAGTTGGAAATTGCTAAGAAAGCCTTCTGTGTGCAGTGGAGATTGGTTTGTTGAATTTACATCCCTGGGTAAATATGTCCAAGCCCAGAGCTTGTGGTTTCTGCTTCCAGATAAGGCCTCGTCCATATGATCTTCTTGAGTAACAGCCTACAGGCCAAGAAGATGGCAAACAATTGGAAGAGAGTATGACTTGTCTGGGAAGCTGGAAAATCACCCTCTGATGGAAAATCACAGTGGCTCACCTTCTGGATGCACTTTGCACACACCTTAAAGATGATAGCCATGAAAACCCTATAGAACAGTTCTACTTGGTAATATAGGATTGCTGTGAGTTGGAACTGAATCCATAGCAACGAGCTTGGTTTTTTCTGGTTTAGACTTGGGCAAAAGGA